CAACCTGGCTTTGAACACTGCCAGGAGTGGGGCATTTACCACTTCTTTTCATTCTCTCAAAGATCTTCCACATTTATAAAACTAACATAATTACATGGGGTATGCCCACTGCCATAATTAATCATCTTATGGTTAATTAATCAGTAACTATTGCAATAATTAACCATAAGATGTCTACGTTACACTTATGTTGAAATTAAAATATATCTTTATATATAATGCATTATAAGATCAATAGATGGATAGCTACCAATATACTCATAGAAGTGCCTAGTAACACTGGACTTCATTTCATCCATGGACCTTGTATCCTTCCATGGATACAAGGGTGACACAAAACACACCTACCCCACAAATACACACTACATGCTTCAGCATTTAGAGTCAACATAATGCCACTGGCTAAAGCAGGATGCAGATTCCTTTGGCATTTCTAGCTCTCTATTTTGTCTCCAGAACTGTACCACAGACATGCTCTGCATATTATTAAGATACTAATGTTATTAGTGAACTTAGCAGATACTGAAACATAGAGTATATATAAAACCACCTATCACATACAATTAAATATGCATATATTTACATACACAGTATGCACAAACAAGCCTTAAGAACAGTCACATCAAGTAAGTTTTAACATAAAAATGTGTTTTGTCTTGCCAAGAGGAATGAACATCTGATTACAGATTAACCCTTTGTGTGTTGGGCAGCACCAACTAGCCCAAAATGAGATTTTAAGTGGACTGCTAGCCATGACTACAATCTCAAACAAGCAGGTGAATTTTAAACCTCTTTAAGAAGAAACACAGCTCCAGTTGTCTGCAAATCCTGATCTATGATCTGTAAGCAGCTGAAAGTTCTTGATTAAACACATACATTGTAATTTGATGAGAAAATATACTTTCTACTATCACTTCATGCTATGCTCAAGCAAATGGTCCAGGCCTTCCTTACTGTTAGCCAATCAAAACTTGTATGAGACCACATGATAACATGACTGACAAGACAGAACATATTACACAGATTAATTCTTAAGTAAAGAAGGTGAATTGTACTCTTTAATACACTCAGTTTGCACACAATACCATGGTAAACACTTCTCTGCTCACGATATAGGTCACAGTACATGCCAATGTAATTTAACACTTCTTTGCCTAGCATTTACGTGGTTCCAATTACCAAGAAGAAAGCAAAGCTCTCATCCAGTCAAGGCAGCAAGGAAAAAAAGCTTTCAGGAAAAATAACCAGGCAAGGAACTAAAATTCTAACAGCACTCCTACAGGGATCACTCCAACATATATTCCCCAAACCAGCACATTCATTAGAATGTTCATTCATTCATCAGGTTAGATTAACAAAAAGGTACTCAGTTCATTCAAACTACCATTAATTGCTTTGAGTTCAGAACTGAGTTCCAGAAACCCTTGTGCTGCATGTAAAGCCTCATTAACAACACCTAAACAGGTCAACTGGGGGGGGTGGGAAGGGGAGGAAATGTAATCAACAGAAGGGTGTAAAGTGTTTCAGTTCTTCATACATACTTCACTCATCAATGCTCTAACAGCTAGGAAATAAAACTGCATTTTTTTCCACATCTGGTCTCTGATTTTTAAATTGCCAGAAAAGCACTTTCTAGAGGTTGGGAAGACTCAGAGCATCTAAAAAGTTCTCTGTTCTACTCTACGCTAATTCAATCACAGCACCACAAAGATAAATGATAATTTTAAAAAGCAGAGAAAAGTAATGTAAAATAAAAAAGGAAACGTGTATTTTGCATATATAAATTATAAAGGAAATAAAGTAGAAACTCACAGGGAAATACATGGAAACTACATCATTATGACAGCTTGTTTAAAAATAAAGCAAAATACTGAATATTCAATAGGTAGGGTAAGTAGCTTAAAAAAAAAAAAAAAAAAGGCTTTTGTAACACTGCAGCCCTTTGGCTTACTATGAACATGAGAGTGATCAGGATGTACATCTGCTTAGCCCTAAAGGAAACTGAACTGTACTGCAGAGAAGGTCAAACCAAAGCAAAAAAGCATTCGAGTTTGAGGTAATGCTGGTGAGACCTGGGGAGCTACATGGCCCTCAGTTTACTGCAGAACATGCAGGTAGTGTAGAGATCAATCAACAGCTGTGTGTCCTTTCTTCACTATGAGAAGTTGCATCAAAGACACAGCCCAGCTACAAATGTGCTTAACAGGCAGGGAGACAGAAGCTTCCCCTTGTTCAAAGCTGCCTTTCCTTTTTGCCGCTGTGTTTTTGTAGAGCTTCTTAAAACCAAATTCACTCAGCATGCTTCACTGAGGTAGACTGAAGTATACACAGACAAAGAGCTATCCTCATTCCTGTCACCTTTCAGTCAATCGTTCATTTTTCATGGAAAGCTCTTAGGTACCACATTCAGACCTGGTTACTAGCAAAGACGTATTATGCAAGACAGGGCTAAACAACACTCCCAAAATGACTGTCACATACTAATGAAAACTTATCTAACCAACACAACACCCAGTTATGGCTTTTTTTTCTTACAACAAGTAGATGAATCATTGCTAGATAAACAGCAACCACTACATACTGACCAATCTGGAGCCTTTCCCCTCCCCTCATTTCTCTTGACACGTAACTTTCCTTTAACTGATAAGATATTATAGTCTGCAAGGAACCTGCAGTCTGTACAAAGAGCTATTATTTTCTGAGGAGAAACTGTTAAAAAGCAAGATTTTCTCATTATTACACAAAGGAACTTTATTTCTTTTTAACTAAAGGCTTTTCTTCTCCCTCCCCTTCCCCCAATGCCAATTCACTTACTTTCATTCAGCAACATGAGAGCGAATTCACCAGAAGCAGCAGCAGCAGCATGACTTGGCTCTGAAACAGCTAGTTTATTTTGCTTCATATTAATAGATTTGCACAGTACTAGGGTACATTTCAAGTACTGCAGTGCTGGCAATGGAACAGACAACTTTCAGTTATAGCTTTTCCAAAACTTTTCTTTATAAAACCAGTCCTGTACGTTCAAATATAAATGGGTTCTTATTAAATTGAAAATACCAGGAGTCATCCCTTCACCCTCTGCAACTCCTGTTGCTCCCATCCCGCAGGGAAGTATAAACCAAAATGTACCAGCAGCAAAGAAGGGTGGTATGTCTGCCTGGGACTCGCATCAACAGAACATGTGATACTACCAAGGGGCACCTTCTGAAGATTACACTCAAAACCAAAGAGAAGATTATCCCAGACTTAGACGTGGATACAGATGTACCATAGCCAAGGATTTATTGGTTTGGGGAGTGTATTGGAGGGATCCCAGTAGGATTGCTTGTAGAATTTTATTTCCTCAGTTTTTTTGTTTTACCCGAAAGCTTTTTTTCCTTCATTATTTGCATACATGCAATTTTTGCTTTCTTCCTGATATTTGGAATCATGTATAAACACTAGCCAAAGGTATTAAATTTCATTGGCATGTACTGTTAGCTTCTGTATTTGAACCAAAGAACATTGCAGCAAAAGGAAAACTTGCTCAGACTCATCCCAGGCTCTCACCTGTTCAGAAGCCATATGGTAAAGCTCTTGGCACCTCTGGCAAGTAAGCACACTGACACAGCTTTTGTGAATCTGAGACTTCCAGCTCCAGGCTGCAGGAGCTCAAATCCACTGCTAACTGACAAGCAGTTCTTTCTACTCCCACCCCCATGGCCTTTCCCTTCAAAGTACTGATTCTCTCCCAGTACAGAGCTTTTTACACTTAACCTGATCAAGGTCTTCAGGCAGTTCCATCACCAAGCTGGTTTTCTTCCAATAATACTATTTCTGCTAAGTTGAAAACAACTAAAACCAAAGAACTTCAGAACTAACATCCAGAAGGACAGGCAGAAGTAAGTTAAAGAAATACATATGTAACTACCACTCTTATAATGATAACTGTAATGCTGAATAAATGAGGTTATTTTCATTTAGCTGTTCATCTGCAAAGTCTGCAGTTTAGCTCAGGAAACAGCCACATTCCTTCCACATCCAAATCTCTCACCTCCCTCTCAAAGCCTCAGAGGTATCCTAATGTGCCTGGAGAATATATATGAGGGAGGAGGTGGGAGAAAGAGAGCCATCTAGAACTAGGAAGTGGTGCAAACACCTCTAAGTGAAAACAGTGACTATGCTTCAGAGGAAAAAATAATGGCATTCTCTTACTAGCAGGTGAACCATGCATGCAGCAAGAAAAGACTCGTTTATTAACATGGAATCACAAGAGTTGAACATTAACCAGCCTAAATCAGTACAAGGGATTAAAACCCCTATCCCAGGACAACCTGCAAAAAGAAAACTATTGAGTTCTCGCAAGATTTAATTCCACCATAGGTATCCCATGGAGAAGAGGCAAGTATGCTCAATTCTACACAGTAAGGGGGAAGAGTGAGGGAAAACAGTAGTAAGGAGCAGGCAGCAATGCCAGAGGCAGCTGAGTCTCTGCAGTCTGTGCATCCAGAAGGACAATCTCTCTATTGTTTCTCAAGCGATTAGGTGAAGGACTAAGGATTAGACAGAGCATAACGCAACTGGAAAAATTAAAGAAAATAAATAAATGGTTGCTCTTGTGAATTTTTGCAAATTAATGCAGAGAAAACCTTCATGCCTCAGTGAGTGAGGGTCACACACATTTGGAGGCTGAATGCCAGAGGCATCTGTCACCTACTGTGCACACATCACTCATGCTCCTCAGAGAGCCTCCACAGGCATTGCCTTATTCTGGAACCTGCCTGAATAGCACAGTAATAAAAGCACATCATTAAACAAGCCCAATTACCTACTGCAGCACCCCACTCCCCCACAAAAGCTGGGAACATTATTGTACAAAGGAAGGAAATAAACCAAGGTAAAATTTATACTTAGTCCAGGGGGAATTCCAGAAATACAGATTCCTAGAAACTTTAACATTAATATAAAGTTAATTTCCTTTACATAGCAAGAAAGTAAACAGCACGTCATATGTTACTCACCTCTGCAGGAAATGCCCTGGCTATCAATTACTTGTTTGCAGATTCCACAGATTTTGGATTTCTTAAAAGACTTGGCTTTGAAGGTGTGAGACCTTGAAGCTGTTTCTTGAGGCTGGAAGCAAAGGGAATAACATTAGACCTTCCTTCAGTTTTTGAGTCATACTTTAAAGTGAAATATAGATAATTTAAAATTAAATAGGGTACTAGTGTGTCAGCAGTATAATAGCAGCATGTCAAAACACTCTCACTCTTACTCAGGAACATGAGCTTTCCACTCTCAAATGTGGGAAGCAATAGTGTGAACGAACTTGCATATTAGCACACAGACACTGTAAGACATTTTTATATCATAATTTCAGAATTCACTCCATGACTTCTCTTTTAAGAGGAAATACAGAATACTCTCTATGATATGAGCCAACAACATTCTGACCTTATGTCTTATCTACATAAAACCTTGCACTTGTTCAGCTTAACCTGGTTAAACATAACGTAAGTAATGCTCTGTCACAGTCACCAATTTAACTCATCTGGTGCAGAAGACAGCTTGGACTTCTCATTCAACAAATGAAAAGCATCCATGCAAGCTGACTCTGGCACAGAGAGCTAACTTTAAAATCACTATTCCTTCATCTGTGTAAGAAAAGTATAGTAGGTTTAAAGTAACATTGTTTCAACAGTATATCACAGTAACATCATGTTAAAATAAGGCAATAATGGCAAACGGGGGAAAGAACTGCAAAAGTCAATACTATATATGCAAAGGCTATTATATGGCTTCTATAACATAACAGATGGAGCTACCAAAAGATTATGACAGTCAGTATTTCCTCTGGTAAGATATAACAACTTTTGCCACCAGGCTCTTTGGAAATACTCAGTTACCTATACAAAAACAAAAACATCTTTTGCCAGACCACAAAATCCACAAATGACTCTTCACATTCCTCATATTCATTCCACATTTGCCCCTCACTGTCCTTATACTCAGCCCTGCAAATGGGCTCGCCTTCGACACTTCAGCACCTGCGCTGAGCTTTGGCAGCACAAGTGCCTAGAAGCAGAAAGCTGTCCCTCTACATGCAGTCAGGCTGGTCCATGGCAGCACCAGGCTTCCATCGATACACTGCATGAGAAACCTTCCCAGTGTGGTGCAACACACACATCTACTGCAATAAAGTAACATGGCACATATTTGTGGCTTTGAGCAATTCAAAACGTGGCTCAAGGCAAAACGTGACTGTCTCCAAAAGCATCTACAATACAGCTAGTCAGCAGGCGCAAGAACAGCCACCGGGCACAAGAACAGACACAAATCAGTGTCTCCTTCAAGTACTGCCTCCACATGGGCCTACCTGAAACCCCAGAGGAGCCCAAACGAACACAGAGAGCAGCAACTGACCACCCTGAGCAGGCCCGTGTGCTTGGAGGCCATGTTCACCAGTGGGGATACAGTCACCCTGATCTTAAGAACAGCTTCAGGAAATGTTGGTCTCACCCACAGTGTAACGCCAACATAATTAAAATGCTTCCATAAACAGCACAGTAGCAATTACTGATATTGAAGGAATAAAAGCCAGACTGGACTCTCAAGAAAACCATTCCAGCACTGTATTGACTGGCAGAAATTAGGGAGAGAAATAGTAAAATACCCCATACTGAGATGAGCTCTTAGGCAGAAATTCTTCCCTGTGAGGGTACTGAGGCACTGGCACAGGGTGCTCAGAGAAGCTGTGGCTGCCTCATCCCTGGCAGTGTTCAAGGCCAGCTTAGACAGGGCTTGGAGCAACCTGCTCTAGTGGAAGGTGTGCCTGCCTGCGGCAGGGGTTGGAACTGGATGGTCTTAAGGTCCTTTCCAACCCAAACCATTCTGTGATTCTGTATCAGACTTATAACTCGTATTAAAAGTCAGCCATAAAGGAAAATAACAGCTGAACTCCAGCACTACGTAGGAACACACTTGACGGCAAACAGATCAGATCTACTATTATTGAAAAACCTCTGTCATGATTGGGTTGCGTTTGAAAATATGGGAGATGTTTTTGAAGAGACAGAGGTCTAGGAGGAAGGAAGTGTCACTACATCCAGGAAACTTCACTAATCTGAGGTAAGGAGGTTCTACACCATTATGGGTTCAGCCATTTTGCCCAAAAAAGGTGAGAGTCCGTCATCACCACAGCCTTTTGCTGCAGTTTCCCTGCTCTGTAGAACCACAGACAAAACCAGAATCCTCATTTTAGATTTTTTCCACTCTTCTTTCATGCAGAGTTCTACTTTGGGCTGAAGTTTACAGGACATGCCTGTGACTCTCTTCGAAAAGGGCAGTTTTGAAGAAACTCATGGATAAACTTCACCAAGAGATTAAAGAAGAAAAGGAAAGCAACCATGGCAGGCAGCAAGCAATGCTATTTCCATGAGGCTCAAGCCTGCACTCTAAATTTATGCAATTGTTATAAGCAAACAAAACTGGAAAACAGTGCAGAACCACAGGTTACAGACTGAGTTTTTGCCCGAGAAAGAGGCTGTAATTACATCTGGTCTCAATTGCCGGCATTATGAAACTCTTCTTTGCTTACCACGCAAGGAAATATTTTTCAACATGCTCTGCTCTTTATGGCACACAGAAATCTAATGAAGCTGAAAGTTTATCCCAGACTTGCACCAATGTAACAAAGCAGACTGGGTGAAGATTCATAGGGGCATCTTCAGCTATGATGAATTTCAAACACTCCTTATCGCTGAGCATTTTCATTAGGCAGCAACATGCTGATCATCCCCACATAAAAAACTCCCAGCAACTATGTCAAAGACTTTTAAGACACATAATATTCGGAGAAGTAAAAAGCAGTTTACACAGCAACCGCTCTCCAGATTTAAATTCAGCCAATACAAATTAAAGCACTCAAAGATACACAACTTGTTTCTTCACAATACCGATACAGCATTTCCTCCTTGGCAGAGACTTACACTGGCTCTTTACACCTATGGAAGCAGCATTAACATTATTCCCAAATACCATGCTACATCATAACAATTACATATTCAGTGAAGAACAGAACCAAGTAAGCTTTCATTGCAACTTAATGTTTCCAATGTCTAAACTTCAATCATGGTAACAGTTCATCCTTTAAAGGAAAGTGAAAGGGCTTTGATTTTTTTGTCAAAGAATCAGTTCCCTTCAAAGTCATCCAGAGAGTGACTAAATTATGAGGAAATAAGTGTATCAAAAAAAATTTGACTTTTAAAATTAAATTTTTAAATCAGACATTATTCTATGCAGAGGGAAAAAAAAAAGTCAAAAACTGTTTGCACGTTATTTCTGTATCTCCAGAACTTCCAACAATCCATGTAATACATTCCAGCTATGAGAAAACTATAAACATACATGCAAAGCCCCATAAACTTTCCCTATGTTAGACTCTATTTCTGCTGAATTTTACAGAGCCGTAAAACCCCTCTTAGCACAGCAACAGAATCATATAAAGCAAAGATATGCTTTGTTCACTTCCCATCCCTGGGCATGCAAATACGATCCCTATTCCCTATCCTCTCTCTAAATAACTTACCAACCAATACTGCAATTTCCCAGGACTCTCTCTGTGCATTCTTCTACTCTCCAAGGTAGCTTTAAATCCACTGGCTGACATAACGCTTACGAGTATTATTTTTAATACTTGGAAGGATGGGGCAGAAGTGTATCAGCAGAATGGGTATTTCATCACCTTTTACGGCTAGGGGAATGCCCACAGGGGATGTCCGATAGAAAGTTCAAGTAAGGGGTGACTGAAAGCAGAATTCATGAAAAGGCTGAAGTCCAGTTAAAAAACCATTGCAAAACTAAGGCATGTGTCTACTGCTGTGTGACTGCTCCAAAAACAGATGACATGACTACAGAAAAAAACAGTACATCTAGCTGAGGGGAATGCCTCCTTTCAGCCCTTTCTATTAAGGTTACTCATCACTATTTCTAACATCTATTTCCTCTCCTCCCATCTCTTACAGGAAGTCTGCCCAGCAAAAGTACCATGATTTCTGCACAGTTACTTCGAGCTCCCATAGAGAAATCAAAGAAGAAAATCCCAACAGGTTACCTGTCTGTCCCTGTAACTAACATTCCTGAAGAGAACACTGATGATACAGGACTGCCCAAAATAAAACAGTTGGTATTAATCATAATACAAAATAATTCAGAGCTCTTCCCCTCCCATCCTGCAGTAAACAGCATTTTTAACATTTCTAACCCTGAACCAGTGCCCATGCTTGCTGCAGATTTAATTCCCAGAAAAATATTTAAGAAAACTTACCATGCATATAGACCAATTAATAGGATTTTCATTGAATGGTTTGGGAAGAACCTTAAAAGCTCATCCAGTTCCAGACCCTGCCATAGGCAGGGACACCTTCCAATTGAGCAGGTTGTTCCAAGTCCCTGTGTCCAACCTGGCTTTGAACACTGCCAGGGATGGGGCAGCCACAGCTTCTCTGGGCACCCTGTGCCAGCTCCTCAGCACCCTCACACAGAAAAACTTCTGCCTAAGATCTAACCTGAACTTCCCATTTCAGTTTGATCTAAATCTTTCCTCTAGTAGGTTAAACCCATTCTCCCTTGTCCTATCCCTACAGGCCCTTGTAAAAAGTCACAGAATCACAGAATCAACTCGGTTGGAAAAGACCTTTAAGATCAAGTCCATCTGTTACCCCAGACTGACAAGTCCACCATTAAAACATGTCACTAAGGGCAAACAGATCTTTCCCTCAAGATCTCCCATCCCTATCTCCATTCACAAGAGACCCCCTCAATCCCCCCACATAGGGCCCCACACTGTATAGCTGCCACCCCTATCCCTCATGGCCACCCCTCACCTCCCCCTAAGACCTCCCTTCATGGCCACCCCTCAGGCACCATGGCCGCCCCTCTCCTCCCTAAAAATCCCCCCTCATGACCTCCCCTTGTGGCTGCCTTTCCTTTCCATCATGGCTGCCCTTCTTCTCCCCTCACCCTTAAGGCCACCCCTCCTCTCTCTTCATGATATTGCCTCACTCATCATGGTCGCCCCTCATCTTCCCTCATGATCTCCCCTCACGACTGCTCCTTCTCTCCATCAAGGCAGC